ATCTCCCAGTATTTATTGTGAACATTCATTACAGAATGGATAAGTAATTTTTTTGCAAATGTTGAAATAATTTTTGTTTAGTACTGCAAACATTTGTAAATGTGGTGGATTCCGGATTGATTTAAATTCTGAAGTAATTATTTTAGTAAGCAAACACCTTAAGGGGGGAAATACAAGTAAAATTTTTTTTTATCGGTTTTTTATATTTTACTTTAAAATTTTTTAAAACATGCTACGAGCACGAGGAAGGAGTGATCAATGGACGCCATCTTAAAGGAAATAGATTTTTACTCTATGTGAACCACTGATATCATGAAAAAATTAACAATATTAATTTTCAGGTCTGCCTAAAGTGGAAAAAAAACAGTGAAAAATCATTCATCATTCAAATACATTTTTTTTTCAGATATTTTTTTCTAAATTTTTAAATCTTTTTTTTTTTTGGGTTTTAGAGGTTCACATAGAACAAAAATCTTTTCTGAATAAGGTCCTATTGATAAAAGTAAGTTTTGTCCATTTTTCAGGTCTCTAAAACGCCCGCTAATTACCAGCCCCACCGGAGGCGACCTCCTTCCGATGTGACCCCAAGGAGCCACAGAGGTCACACACCAATGAAAAAAATCTCAAATGTAGAGGAAGATTTAAGCAATTTAATGCAAACGTTTGCGTTCTTTCATTTGCTCACCAAAAAAATTCCGAAAATTGTCGAGTTTTTGACGTGTTCCTTGTATTTCCCCCCTTAATCGCCAATTTCTCGCGAACAAAAGCTCAATCTCGTAAACAAACTATCCCAAATGATAGAGGAATCATTCTTCTACCTGATAGTGTTATTTGTTTTTGAGATTGTGCTTTTATTCCCGAGAAATCGGCGATTTTGGCGTGTTTGTCTACAAATTCAATTACGCCAAAATCTCATGATTTGGAGTCAAGTAAGTATACGGTTTATAAATTGTTGAACTACTTTATCTATGTTCCCAAAATTGCAACGTTTCACAATTGAGTGCTAAAATTGCTTTACAATAAGAATTAATTCTCCCTAAAAGTATTATGTTAAAAACTAAAAAAAAATTAATTTTGAAAAAGATTCAGAAAATTCAAAATATTGTACACATTTAATTTTTTTCGCCGAGATTCCAACAGCCGAGTAGTTCTGCAATTTAGTTTGCTGAGGTTCAGTAAAATAATTGCCGAGACTCAGCTAACAAATATCATTTTGCTGCGATATCAGCTAACAAACATATATTTTGCAGGTATATCAGCAAAAGTAAATGCCGAGGTAATCGGCTGTTGGAGATTTTACCGAGCCAGATTAAGTGTGTATGTTTTTCCAAAACCAAGACAGAGCCGAAATTGCGATTTTGTAATTCCATCAAATGTAGCATAACTGCAAAGAAAAATACTATTTATGACCATTTTTGCGTTTCTGAACCATTTCGGATTTTTAATGGTATTTGTGTTTTAGACCATTTTGACGGTCCATAGCTCGATTTAGCGTTTTTATTTCATTTTGTAAATTCTAGTCCTTTTTAGCGTTTTTAATGCCATGGTAGCCCATTTTGGCGTTTAAAATGCAATTTTAAACATTTTACATTTGACACTTAAGCGTTTCTTAGACTATTTTTGGCGTTTTGATTGTTTTTGTGTTTTTGTGATCATTTAGAAAGTTTTTGAAGTCGCTATTGCGTTTTGAGACCATTTTGAGATTTTTGGGCTAGTTTCACGTTTTAGTGCCATTTTTCCAACTACAGGTAATTTTTGGGTTTCTGCAACAATTTTTGGCGTTTTATAGGTAATTTTTGTAGTTTTATTTTTCATGTTGGCATTCCAATGTCGCCTGGATTTCAGTGAAAATGCAGTGTTTTTTTATGAACATTGCATTAGGTCCTAAGTAACATTGATCGATTCTCTTCGTCAACTTTCTCTTTCGTTAGTAACTTGAGCACATAACCGTTTCTTGTTGCGTTTGTCGTATGAGATGCCAAACCATGGCCTGCTTAGCAATAAAACAAACTCTTTTGCTTAATACAGCGCTCCTAGTGGACGTTTTCGGAAGCTTTTGACGACTATTTGTTGACAACAACAATAACAATAACAGTGTAGAGTTGGTTGGAAATACTATCTAACATGAAGCTTTAGTGTGATCATTTATTAGCTAGAAAATGATCTTAGAAGAGGGTACGTGGATAGTTCCGTTAGAGTAGGGCAGTATGAAAATTGAATAGAAGTTGAAAATGAGCGAAGGGCCATTTATGCAACAGTACAAAGTCAAACGCACACCTTTTGCCAAACCCGTACGATGTACGTGGAGATTTGAAGTATGTCTGCAAATCTACAGGCAAAAGTGTGTGCCCGCATTACTGTCTTGCTTATTACAGTGTATTTTTTCAGGTAATAAAACGCTCTTGCTTTGGAGACAGTCACCATACAAGACGAGCGTTGCATAGTCACCTGGAAAATCCATCGTGATCCACGTCCAAACTGGCTAAAGTGGACACCCCTCACCATCCCTCTCCAAAGGGGGAGTTTGGTAAAGAGAGATGAAAAAACCGATTTGTACCTTCCTTAAAAGTTGTTCTAGCTCGCTATTCTAATATCTATATGCAATCTTCACACTGCCGTAATCTAACGGAACTATCAACTCTATGCTTTCATCTACTCCATCTATCGTATAAAAATTACCACTACAGTCTGTTATTTGAAATTAGCATCTTCAACTATGGCTAAAGTGTTGAATTTTCCTAGACACACCGTATGGCGCGTGCTCAAAACGTATAGGTAAACCTTGACGACGAATCGGAAGTCTCAAAGTAAGTGGAACTGCCAACGGTCAGCTCCATGGAAAATTCATGCGATTTGAGTAAAAAGTAGTATGCCCGTAGCAGGCTTGACCACTAAAGCAGAATACCGTAGCTAGAACCCAAGTCCGGTGGGCGCATACTTATGGATGATGAAACCTATGTAAATGCCGACTTCGGAAAGCTTCCAGGACCAAAATTTTACAAAGTGAAGGCTCGAGAAGGTTTCCATGGCAGATTCAAAATTTTGTGGTAGCGGATAAATTCGCACGCAAGTATATGATCTGGCAGGAAATTTGCAGCTGCAGCCAGAAGACAAAGGTTTTCGTCACTGAGAAAAGGATGAACTCGGAGGTCTCCAGAAGCAAATTCTGCCTTTCATCCAGTCACATGATGGTCCGGTAACATTTTTTAAAGAGCTTATGTTTTTTTACACTATCATATCGATTTTTAAATTAAGAATTAGAACAAAATAATCGTTTCACTTTTTGACACATATTAACTAACAAATTGACAGCTCACCCCATACTAAAGTACCACCGAGGGTCGCTAATATGATGATTTTTGTCAGACGGAGTGGTTGACGACTTACAGCTATGGATCGAGCTAAATGGACACAACTTCGTCCTTGTAGTAGTAGTAGTAGAAGTAGTAGTAGTAGTAGTAGTAGTAGTATTAGTAGTAGTAGTAGTAGTAGTAGTAGTAGTAGTAGTAGTAGTAGTAGTAGTAGTAGTAGTAGTAGTAGTAGTAGTAGTAGTAGTAGTAGTAGTAGTAGAAATCTTTGTAACATGAAAACTGATTCTACCAAAATTCCGGACCTGTGTCAAATTTCTCACACATCTCCTAATACACCACCAAACAAAATCAACAACGGGTTCCCACAATCATTAGTAGCGATCATGGCTCAGAAAATCACCTACACATACAAAGTTACCACACCAACAAAACATTCACACTTCAAGCAACTGCCAATATCACAATTTGCTCGCAAAACACCGGTCTAATATGGACCACGTCATAACCTAACCATCAGTTGAGCAAAAAGTAGGATCAATGGGATAACAAATTGATGAAAAAAAGTAAACGCACACAAACACCCAGAAACAACGAAGAGCCAACCAGAGAATCCGAGTGAGAGAGGATTAAATTATAAGTGAAAAAGAGGGTATACAAAAATAATAATTACTAATAATTATTTCTCGGAGGAACAAATTTAATTGAGATGTTTGGTACAGTAGGCAACAGCAGCCAGCCAACTTTACACTGCTACACGGACTCTAAGAAACAAGAGAGGATAAAAAAAATCCGGCAGACAAATCAGCTACCTACATACCAAAGGTGCGCTGAAAAGAGAAGGGCTCTGCTCTTGAGGCCCGAAAACCGCACGTTTAAAACTCATCAACGGCGTGGAGTATAATTACTGTTCATGCTCAAAACAAATTATTAAAATGATTAGAAGTCTAGGAGCATTAATTTGGCGAGTTAGTATTATTCACGTTTTTTGTGCTTCTATTGCTTTTTCGGGAGGCCTATCATCGGTTTCTCCCCGACCATGATGAGATACGTGAAACCATGCTTGATGTTACGGAAAGGGGAGACCTTTCTATCAGCACTGCGGCCAGTGGTCCCAAAATATGGGTTAATTCGAGAAAATTTACCACATGAGCGATATGCCAAGAATGTTATGTAACTTTCTATAGAATACTTGAACCATGTTTCACTAACGCAGAATCCTATAAACTCTTTGAAGTAATTGTGTTGTATACAATTAAAGGCAAATAAATCATTTATTTGAGGAACCGCATATGTACGTCCATTCTATGGAAATACTGGAAAACAGCATAAAACCAAACCTAGGTCTTATGTGGTTGTTCAACAAACGGATATTCAGACCCTGTAATTAAGTGCTTTATCTCATTCAATTTTCCAAACCAAAAAAGTCGTTTTCGATAAAATAAAAATGTGACTTATGCAATTTATCAAGCAAATGTTTCAACTCAGAAATGCTGCTGAAACTGCATGGCATCACGGTCCACACAGAGCTCAATTTGAGTTTGCAATGCTTCTCGTCTTTTCTCGTTCACCTCCGTCCACAAAACCGTGATCTTTCTTTTAATCACGGCTATGAGGTGTTCTTTTTTGTTGCTCCATTCATTGGAAATAATTACACTCTGCTCAAATTAAGGAAAACACAATAACAATTACCTGGGAGAACACCGAAAATTTTTCAAATTAACGATGTATATCCGCTGGCCGCTGGTTCTCAAAATGATCATTGCAATAATTGCTCCCAGAGCAAGCGGGAATAACCTGAGTGAAGGGGAAGAGATAAAGAAAGAAAGAATTATCCATCGATTAATACAATAATTTCACGTTAATTTTTTACACACTTCTCTTATTGGGGAATTATGTTCAATGTTCGGGGAGGGGGAGTAATTTAGAAAGTCACGGACAAATAATGATTTACTAGGTCCCAAGAGTCAGTTAGGAAATGTGAGACACTATTTGACTCTCGGAATAAAATGTGTATTCGATAAAAATGACACACACATTTACAACTGTAACTTTTTAACTACTGTACCAAATTATTTGAAATGTTCAGTGAAGACTGTTTAGTCCATAACGTACACATGTAATTGATATGAAGGTCTGAGAGGTGCTTAAAAGATAAAAGACATCAGAACAACATGCTGTCAACGTGCTGTCACTCTTTTGCCTATTGATTTGAAAAATACATCAAGTCTCCTCATCAAGAAACCCCCAAAAAAACATGACAAATTTATTATGTTCATATCTCTGTCATGTTACGTCCAATTTTCGTTCTCTTTAGATCATTTGAAAGGTATTGAACTTTCCTCGTAGGCAAATTGTTCAATGTATCATATTTCAAAATTTGTGTGCTAAAAGTTCACCCAAAGTTACAATATTTTTCAAAATTTACTCTGAAGAATCGTGACTGATTTTCTCAGAATTGGGCTGGCCAAATTTTGAATTAAAGGTAGCAGTAGAACACTTAGGAATCGTCCATTAATTATGTCACACTTCTGGGGGGAGGGGGGTTTTGGAAACTGTGACGAGCCTTACAAAAAACAATTAAGGTCCATAAAAAAAATGTGACAAAGGGGGGAGGGGGGATTGAAAATGGGCCAAATTTGCGTGACATAATTAATGGACCCTTTTTTATGCTGTACCATTCATACCATTCAAATAACCTTTGGAGATCAAAAATTGAACCAAACATTTTTGCATGGTTTTTTGGGGTGTCCTTAAACTTATCATCGGTAGTGTATGAGTTAGGTGAAGGAGTGTGCGTTTGACTAGTACCAACAATCAATACGAAACTAACGATTTTAAATTGGCTCACCACTTTAGTAGCCTATTGGTCCCAAGCAAACGATTAACGTACCCTATTCTAGTTGAAATTCTATTACTACACTATGTTTGTTTTGATTCGCTATGAAAGTTTGACAGATAACATCAGGGGTGTGTGGATTCATGCAGAACATGCAGGGGTGAGGGAAATAGCTTGGGACTGCTTGGGACCGTTGTTCTGGTACTGAGTGAGCCAAAAATAATAATGATTTTCTTCGGGACCCAGTGGTCTTAGAGTTACCTCTATGCTAGTACTGTCGCATTAATGGCCCTTCGCTCATTTTCAACATCAATTAAATTTTCACACTGCCGTACTCTAGCGGAAATATCAACCTACCCTCATCAGAACTTTCTCTAGCTAATAAATTATCACACTTGCACAGCTTCATGTTGATATTAGATAGCATTTCTAACCAACTTTGAATTGATGGAGTTAAAAGATACTCAGTGAAAGTACGCAGTCTTGTTCGAGATGCTACCAGGGACGTGGTAAGTTTCTGACATGCGACGTTATTGGCATTCAATATCATGTCCATTGCAGTGACAGATGCATTTATGGCCAAATTGAGCACCTAGGTTCACATTGGCCACACAAGATCATATTTCGGTGCTACGTGGAAAGTTGCGTTGCTTTTGTAACGGAGTAATTTATACAGAGATGCCAAATTTACAGACATGTCTGTGAAATTACAGACTTTTATTTTTTCACAGACATTTTTACAGACTTTCAGTTTTTTTCACAGATATTTACAGACTTTTGTAATCAGAGAAATTTTTTAAAATTTATTTGGTTACACTGTTTTACATCTTTAATCAAATTACACGTACGATGCATTTTGCAACAATCATTAGAAACTCGGGCGATTTCAAATCCACCACACAGAAAAACAAAACTACCCACCGCTTGGGTTTTTTAAACTCAAATTTGAGTTATTTGACCTCAGCCCGTTTCATTTTCTCTCGCTATTGTTGTCAAAAATAGAACGAAAGATTCGACTCAACCGTCTAGTTCCGTACGAGAAGCCAAAATTGAGTAATATGCGATATACCCAAATTTGAGTTAATTGAACTTAATTTTGGGTAGAAAAAATTGAAAATAACTTAGCGATGGGTATTTTTTTTTGCCGTGCTTAAATGCAAACTACTTTGAGCCGGTTTACCCAAATTTGGCTTATTGTACGGAACATGGGAGATGAGTGAAAAGAACTTAATTTTGGGTTGTTTTGAATTTCTGTGCAGGTCTATACACACAGAAATTCAAAACAACCCAAAATTAAGTTCTTTTCACTCATCTCCCATGTTCCGTACGATAAGCCAAATTTGGGTAAACCGGCTCAAAGTAGTTTGCATTTAAGCACGGCAAAAAAATTACCCATCGCTAAGTTATTTTCAATTTTTTCTACCCAAAATTAAGTTCAATTAACTCAAATTTGGGTATATCGCATATTACTCAATTTTGGCTTCTCGTACGGAACTAGACGGTTGAGTCGAATCTTTCGTTTTATTTTTGACAACAATAGCGAGAGGAAATGAAACGGGCAGAGGTCAAATAACTCAAATTTGAGTTTAAAAAACTCAAGCGGTGGGTAGTTTTGTTTTTCTGTGCAGGTCTATAACTATGACCGTCTATAACAGTGACAGCTCATTCGTGTGTCAGTGTTATAGACGGTCATAGTTATAGACCTATCAATGTGCTGCAATGTTGTATTCAAAACGAACATTTTCCACACGATTTGACGGTTTGTTTGGATACGTCAACTCAGAACACCCACATGCAGTTTTAGTGCAGAACGAAGCAGCCATTTTCGCCGTTTTGTACCGAACTTTTTCAAAGGATCAGGTAAGCTATAAGAAGGAAAATCAATATAAATACTTGCACTAATCATTATGTTGAGTTCTATGTGATTTGAAGTATCGCACGATGCCTTTCAGCGCATGTCAGAATCTGTCCACTTCCCGGGGTACCCGGTACACCTGAAAGAGGCCATTGTGATCATTGGGTCTGAATATGTCCACCATTGATCTTATAGATAAATTCTAATGTGATTTGAGGTTTCGCATGATGAATTTTTGATATATCAATCATTTGCGAATTACCCAATGGAATCTGGAATTCACATTTGTGTTCATATCTTCGGAACCATAATTCCGATCGGGAAAAAAATCAATAGCGGTCTATGGGGATCTGAATCACATCTTCTGGAATATGTTCCACTCAAATTGGTTCAGCCATCTCTGCGAAAATTGAGTTAGTTACACTCATACGAACTTACATACATACATACATATATACACACAAATAGAAACATTTTCCAATCCCCGGAGGGTAAGCGGCGCCGGTGGTGTAGTGGTAAGCGTGATTACCTCTCACCCTAGCAGGCCTGGGTTCAATCACAGTCGGCACCGCGCCGGGATGTTCTAAGGCATAACATCTCTGATCACGCCAGGTGTGGGAGCTGCCTCCCTGGCATCGGTAGCATTGGTGCTAAGCACGGAAAACAAGATCGACGGAAAACAAATTAAGAAAAAAAAATTCCGATCCCGTTGAGATGAGTCTATTGGTATTTTTTTTTTTTTTTTTTTTATACAGGGGGGAATCTGCTCACAGACACCTGAGAAGGAACTCAGGGTGTGGGGATGGGAGAATTTCACTCCCGACCCACTAAACCTTACCCTGTGCGCTTGGCCCTTGGCCTCCCCGGAACCGCCCGAAGGCATTACTTCGTGGGAGGGGCCGCTGTAGCGCTATGGCGCCTCTCTAGCAATACTCTAACGATCTGGTCGGGCAGTAGGTAACTGCTGCTCGGCTCGCCACTGTCGTTGTAATACCGAAACTATGTGGGTGACCGCAGTCACCACCGCGCTCCAGTTCTCGGTGGTACCACACATCCTATGAACGATGTTGTCCGGACTGGTATCCGCTCCGCATATCGCTAGCATAGCGCTCGATACTGGCTCGAAACGTGGACAGGCAAACACGACGTGTTCGGCGGTCTCCTCGACACCAGCACATGTGGGGCAGGTGGGAGTACTTGCATGTCCGAACCTATGCAGGTAGCTCCTAAAGCAGCCATGGCCTGACAGGAACTGTGTCAGGTGGAAGTTTACTTCCCCATGGCGCCTGTTGACCCAGCTTGATACGGAAGGTATCAAGCGGTAAGTCCACCTCCCCTTTGTGGAGTTTTCCCACTCCAATTGCCATCTCGCGGTCGACACAACTCGCGCGTTGTTGCGCACCCCTCGAACGGTCCTCGCGTCATAACACGCCACATCCTCCTTAATGATAAGGCTGATTGGCATCATCCCTGCTATGACACAGACGGCCTCTCTCGAGATAGTGCGGTATGCACTGGCCACCCTTAAGCACATTAGCCTGTGTGTACTCTCTAATTTCTGCCTGTGGCAGTCAATATCCAGTACCGCAGCCCACGCAGGGCCGCCGTATCTGAGGATAGATACTACGACCCCAGCGAGGAGCCTGCGCTTACTGGCATTCACTGCCGAGCTGTTTGACATCATACGGGATAATGCCCCCACAGCCATAGACGCTCTCTTGCAGGCGTACTCGACGTGGCAGCCGAAGCTGAGCTTATCGTCGAGCATAACCCCCAAGAGTTTTAGAGAGCGCACAGACCTAATTGTGCTTCCGCCGACTGTCAACGTTGCATGCTGTACTGACATGCGATTGTTGACTACGACCACTTCCGTCTTGTGATGGGCGAGCTCCAGTTTCCTGGTTCTCATCCATTCCTCCACAAGCCTGACGCAGTGGGCCGCTGTCAGCTCTACCTCCTCGAGGGATTCCCCGCAGACTACCAGCGTGACATCGTCGGCAAAACCTACAATTTTCACGCCTACCGGGAATTTTATCCTCAACAGTCCATCGTACATGACGTTCCATAACACCGGGCCCAGGATGGAGCCTTGTGGCACACCTG